ATAAACAAAATTATGAATGTCACATATTTTACATTTATATACTTCGAAACTGGTGTGTAGTTTGCACTTACAATGCATCTTATTTTGGACTAGCCACATTTCAGGTCATCCATAGTCATATTTGGATAGTAGCTATCATTGAACAGTGTGCACAGAACCCACTATATAATTTAGTATCAAGTCCAGGCAAACAGAAGGTGAGTCTTCCATAAAATCAGATCCATAACTGGGGTGATGTCAATCACTGAACACACTTATGCTCTGTTTTTAGAGTCACAGAGAAAGGTGACTGTTACTGACTGAATATGTCTTGTTTTCCTTCCACCTGCCACTACCCCTTTCCCTCCAATTTTTATGTTGAAACCTAATCCCCAAAGTGATAGTATTTGGAGGTGGTATCTTTGGAAGACAATTAGATCACAAGGGTGGAACTCTGTTATGGGATTAGGGCCCTTATAAGAACTGATAGGAGGGAGCTTACTTCTCTGCTTCTGGGCCAACTGAAAACACCAAAGGCTGTTGTCTGCATGTCAGAAAACCTGTCACTGGACACAAAATCTGCTGGTCTTTGAACTGTGAAAAATATTTGTTTTAAGTCTGCTCATCAGGGTACTCTGTTATAACAGCTACACTGAGACATAGCTGGTCACCCACATAATGAAATGATTTCTCCTCAGAAACAAGCACCTGCCCCTTTGATAAGAGGAGATGCGAAGACAGGAAGGGCAGCTTCTGGGCTTCAGTGCCTGAAAAGCACAGGAAGAAAACTTGCAGACCAGGAGAAGAGGCTATCACATCCCAGTTTGTTATTCTTTTCTGTAGCTAGCAATGTTCATGGCTAGAAGTGCCCTCTGGAGTTCCTAGATATGTAGGTCATTGTTCATGACAACTGAACAGACTTCTTGAATCTAAACCCAAGATCTGGTGTAACTGGTTTTAGTTATACAACTACTGTTTGATATGAGAAAAGCCCAAGATTGTCCTTGGGCAAAGAGGAATATGTCACCAAAAGACAAATGCCTAAGTTTAAGATCAAATAAGAGAAACATTTCAAAATAAAAAATTCTATGGTGAACAACGAATTGTTATTAAAAACCTCAGAGGTGACACCTTTTGGTACAGTTCAATTTTTATTAAAGGGCATACCACTATCTAAGTCAAATATAGCATCTAATTGTTGCCACCACCTGTCATTACAAGAGCAATTTCACTTCCCAATAAACCTCAGTTTGTGCCTCTGTTGCAGTAAAACATGACCCTGACAACTTTCTCAAGCACGTGGATTTCCTTCTAGTTTGACCCCAACTCTGGAATAGTTTATCTGGTTACTACAGTGAGAAATCCACTCCCCTTAAAAAGACTCTGAAAAGGTATTGCCTAACCTGCACCTTCGGATGCTATTTTCATTGTTCTTCCTTAAACCAGTCTCTCCTTTCTTTCAGCAGTATTTTTTTGTTTTTGTTTTTGTTTTTTGTCTTATGGAAGCTTCATATTTACCTTTCTCTCTGCCAGAAGGCGTATGAGACTTGTTCTGGTGCTGAGCTTAGCTAACTAGCATGGCACACGCTTGGCTAAATAGTTCTGTAGGTCAGCATTTGGTATGAGAGATGCAGTGGCTGACAGGAAAGATTAGGAGCACAGGGCTCCCACTGCTGCTTCCTCTCTTCACTGAAACCTAAACTAAGAATTGGCTTTCTCCTCCAAATGAAAGAAACAATAACAGCAAGCCTAGCAATGGCTTGAATGGGAAAGGAAAAACATTCAAACTCAAAAAATCAGTTTTCCCCCTTAAGCCAAATTCTTTGTCACCCTGAAAAAGATGGATGAAAAGTGACCCCTGCAAGGGGTCGAGCCCTCATCAAGACTGCTCAGGTTAAAAGAAGAATGGTCATGTCCTAGCTTCTGCTCAGTCATAGATATGAGTCCATAGATCTTTACTGAGCAGAGATGTTTAGTAAGTGTGGGGCCAGCAATGGAGGCAAAAACTTTATAAGAGTAGAGTAACAAATTTTTAGAGTGGGAGGCTAGCATTGGGGTGGCCAAGAAGATGGTGACAAATCAGATCCCAAAAGAGAGTTCCACTATCTTGAAATTACCCCTTGGGGGGACAGATGACATTTTTGACTAGGTTTCTGATTTAATCTATCACCTATCTTGTGCTGCTCTGAAATTTTCTTATGGTATTCCAAACTTTCAATGAAGTTTATATCCAGTAGCATTGTGTTTAGGGTATTGGAAGGAAGGGCTACAGATATCCCCTATGAGGGAAGAGCTTCCAAAAACAGATGAGGTCATCTATAGAAACAGAGTAATGGTTTGGACAGACAGGGGAGAACAATGGGAATACTGACTGGGGAGGAAAGAGGATATTTTCCTATATGAGGTGGGTGGAGAAATCTGTTTTGTTTGCAGTATTAAAGACCCTCCCCGGTGGCACAGTGGGTTAAGACGCAGCACTGCAAGTGAGTAGCAGCTGCCTTAGTGCGAGTGATCCAAATGGCGTGGCAAACCTCATCTGACCCACCCGCCGCTCCCCTCAGCAGTGTACTCTGTCATTCTACCTGTTTTGCTCCCCACTCTGTCTCTGGTGAATACTCTCACCCCCTGCAACTCTGGCCTGTACCCCAGCTCTGTATGAATAAATAAATCTTTAAAAAAAAAGGGGGGGGGGAGTTTCAGAAAGATTTAAGATTTGAGGATAACTGATTTATCTTATTACATACTGTTATTAAAATATTTGAGTCATTTATCAGTTCCAGGGTTCCTTACTATATTTTTCAGACTAGTAAAATTTTTTTTTTAAAGATTTATTTATTTGTGCATACAGAACTGGGGGACAGGCCAGAGGCTCAGGGGCGGTGAGAGGCTTCACCAGAGACAGAGTGGGGAACAGAACAGGCAGATCGACGAAGTACACTGC